GCGCGTGCGATAACGGTGGGGCACCACAAGACATCGACGGACACATAGAAATTCGCAGCTCGTGGAGAAAAATCACTGCTGGTCATAGCGCAGGCCGCGAACTTTTTCCCGTACCCACTCGTTCTGCCTGCTTGACTGGAGACTCCAACACCAAATCCTCCTCACCTTTCTCACCTTTCCATCGACATCCAACTAACAACACCGGTCCTTCGTCCGCCATCACCGTCGAAGTATGTGAGTTTCGCGGAACACCCTGGGCCGAAAGCCCCGGGGCGTCCTGATCCCCTTTCCAACACGCCCTTCCGAGGCCAGGGGAGAGCAATCAGGCGGTCCTGGCTGCCCCTGATACGCTTCTCCTCTCCGGTACTGAGCGGGTAGAACCTCTTCAATCTTCATTTGAAGGAGGCACTCTCCATGCTCCAGGCTTCTGAAGGCTAACGCGTCGCGCCAATGCAGACACCGCCAAAATGGTCAAGACTTCCGTCCTCAACGATGCGCTCAATGCCATCAACAACGCCGAGAAGACCGGAAAGCGCCAGGTGCTTATCCGCCCTTCTTCTAAGGTCATTGTGAAGGTAAGTTTTAAAACAGTATCAATCTCGCTCGGTCCTATTAAGTTGCGTCATGCTGCCGTGGCAGAATGCTGACGATCAATTGCTATAGTTCCTCACTGTCATGCAAAAGAAGGTACGAAAACAACTGCTCTTGATAAGATGAAATGAGGATCCTTCGCTGGGCTACCACTTGCCACCTCCGTTCGGCATGATAACTGGATGACGGGCTCAAACACCCCACGGCCGAAGTCTTTTAAGTTGCCGATAGATTAATGGTATCCAAGCGAGGGAATCTTACACGTTTCTCTGATCATCCGCATGAAGTTCTTACGTTTAGTTTCTCGCTACATTTTGCTAAGTACCTGAGCAGGGTTACATTGGCGAGTTCGAGGAGGTCGATGACCACCGATCTGGTATGTTACACCTTTCCAATTTGGTGACCTGGTTGGTGAGATACACTAACTGACACCTTGTATAGGCAAGATCGTTGTCCAGTTGATCGGTCGCATCAACAAGACCGGTGTTATCTCCCCCCGATACAACATCCACCTGTCCCGCCTTGAGGAGTGGGTTGTCAAGCTGCTTCCTTCCCGTCAATTCGGCGTAAGTTGTGATATCATGAAATTCCAGAAGAGACGTAGTGTTAATCAACGACATCGCAGCACGTTATCCTCACTACCTCTGCTGGTATCATGGACCACGAGGAGGCCCGTAGACGTCACGTATCTGGCAAGGTTCTCGGTTTCTTCTACTAGACGGTCGACTCACAGATCGAAAGGGAAAAAAAGGATGAAAAAGGACGGGACAGGCTGAGCATTTTCGGGCGTTTGGGGAAGGGATAATGGCTGAGCTTTTACCTGGGATTTGACCCAAATACACCATGATACCATGATACCACGAAATGCTACATGCCCAAGTTTCCACCCCATCTAGCGATATCGGCGAGATTTGCTTTGTGTATGTGCCTATGTGCCGTTGAGACATTCCGAAATGTATTGAGTCTGAGGGGATCGGCAAGAGAATTTTGCCTCGATACCCACAGTACAAGTAGATCACTGACATCCCTTGCTGAGTGTATGGCGTCCTCAGTACGCTACGGAATACTGTAAGAATACTAGTTGGGTCGATCCCCCTGGTCGCTTTACGCGTTCACTCTCTGGATGGGAGTGGGAAGGTAGCTCTACCGCGGCGACAGGCGGCGTTGCGCGCGCGACTCATGTAGCAGGTACTTCATCGTGGCGGATCTGACGAGGATCTTGAGAAGATCTTGATTGGATCTTGGGGTGGTTTACCGTGCGGGTGGAGACCGGGACTGTGTGCCATGTGCCTTTCCTCTTTCGCAATGGGAGTTCCACCGTTTCTCCATGCTATAAAGAAAAGTTGCCTCTCTCTCCCTCTCACCGCAATAAACGGTCTCCGTCCAAGGGCCGATAATACCACGTCCGAGGGAGGGATTTTTAAGGATTCGAGATTGAGAATCCGAAACAAATTCACATGCAGCCCGTTGCATCATGGTTTCGTCGGGTCGAGAACTCCCCCCTTCTGTCCCCTTTTTTTTTCCTCGCCTGGCGAGCGTCTCTCAACCACTGCGTTAATTAATTAATTGGATTAATTCATTAATTACTTGTCACTTTCTCCTACTGAGCCGGTCGCTTCCTTGATAACGTCGATGTGCGCACTACTTCTGACATTGATCCCCCCGGGTGCACACGCAAGTGCGCACATATCCTGATCGAGTCTACCTATTATTTTCACCGTCCGGTTGTGATCGGCGGAAAGAAGAAAAAGAGAAAGTCCTGCATCGCAACCCCACCGGTCCCGCAATGCGGCGGCGTCACCTGCTGTTCATCGGCGCCGTCGCCTTCTTGATCTTCTGCATCGCCAGCATCCGCCGTCTCGGCTTCGATGCCGATCTCTCGGATGGCATTTTCGACTCTTCTCGAGGCCATGTGCACAATGCTAACCCCGCCAACCAAAGAGAGAATGCTCACGTGCTAGGCGTCCAGGACCAGTCTGCCCAGGCACCCTCCGACCCCAAGCTTCCACCAGCCGATGTACATCCCATGCAGATTCTCATCACGGAAGCCGAGGAGGAGCTCGAGGCCACCAAAGCGAGGCAATCTAAGACCGTGGACCAGGCCGTTGCCGAGTATCGTCGCCGTTATGGCATCCCACCGCCACCCGGATTCGACAAGTGGTTTCAGTTCGCGCAGGTTAAGAACGTCCAGCTGGTTGACGAATTCGACATGATCCATGAAACGATGACCCCATTCTGGGGACTGAAGCCCGCAACCATACGAGAGCGAGCGGCAGAGGCCCTGGGATTCGACAACGCACTGCTTGGCATCCAGATCCGCGGCGGCGAAATCACCCACATAGAAGGCGGGTCCGACTGGCAGCGGGAAGCGACCGCCGGCATGATGGAGAAATTCCTCAAGTGGCTGCCGGACATGGACCTCTGTTTCAACTTGCACGACGAGCCGCGGGTCGTGGTGCCGCACGACGACATGGCGAGGCTGGTGCGGAAGGCTAAAGAGGTGAACATGCCGGCTGCGAACAAGGCAGAGCCCAGGAATGCGTTCACGGAGAACCCGAAGGGGCTCAACGACGGGACACGTTTCGAGGAAAGTAGGGTCACGCGCTTTAACGTCTTCGCTCATCAGCCCACCTGGACGCACTCGAGGATGTCCTGTTCGCCGGATAGCCCGTCTCGGGGGCTCGAGGAGGAAGAAAGGCTGGACGACGTGTCGAAGTATGGCCTGGGCGAGCTGGGGTTCGTCTACAACGCGTCGGCCATGTCGAACATCTGCTACTCGCCCAGTCTGAGCTCGACATTCGGATTCTTCGACCGCCCGAACGCATACAACGTCGTGCACGACCTCTTCCCCATCTTCTCGCAGTCCAAGATCTCTTCGTATGCCGACATCCTCTACCCGTCGCCGTGGTACTGGTACGAGAAGGTCCGGTACGACGAGCTGCAGGACCGGCCGTGGAAACTGAAGGAGGACAAATTCTACTGGCGCGGGTCGACCACGGGCGGGTTCAGCCGGAATGGCGGCTGGCGGCGGCAACACCGGCAACGCTTCGTGCAGAAAATCAACGCCGCCGATGAGGCAAAGATCCTGGTAAAGAAAGGGGGCTGGAAGGGAGCCAGATGGGAGACGCTGGTCGTGCCCAGGGGCGACTACAGGGACCTGATCGACGTGCACTTCTCAGGCGTGGGCCAGTGCGATCCCAACGACTGCGACGCACAGCAGGAATTCTTCGACGTCCGCGAACACGCCGAGCAGAACGACGCTTGGGGCTTCAAACACCTTCTCGACATCGACGGGAACGCCTTCAGCGGCCGGTTCTACGCCTTCTTGCGGAGCCGGAGCCTCGCGTACAAGTGGGCCGTCTTCCGGGAATGGCACCTCGAATGGCTCAAGCCCTGGGCCCATTACATCCCGCTCAGCTTGCAGGGCGAGGAGTGGCTCGAGGTCCTACGGTACTTTATGGAGAGCGACGATGGAAAGGAGGAGGCGAAGCGTCTCGCGAATCAGCAGCGGGACTGGGCTAATAAGGTGCTTCGGCACGAGGACATGGAGGTCTGGTTCTTCCGGCTTCTTCTAGAGTACGTGTGCTTGATTATTCCCTTCTCATCCTTTCGCTTACTGGAATTACCGTTTTACTAACACATCTTGCGTAGATACGGCCGAGTCATAGATGACAAGCGGGAATCCATCGGCTACGCGGCCGGATCGCCGAAATTCAGCATCCATACCAATAAGGAGAAAGGATGAATGTCCGCGGGGAGGGTTAATACTATAATGGACGTCTGATGAAAGATGCCTCTGTGTGCAATAATGATTAATGCATGTACGATAGGAACCGGCCATGTCTGGGGTGTTCATGCGACATTAGGTAGGAAATGGGGATATCACTCACACCTACTCCTAATAAGTAATCGCCAGGGGAATCACAGTCTTGCTGGCCTGTCCGGACATCTGTGATACAATGGAAATGAAATCCAAATGACATATCGCTCCGTGGGATTCATACAAGACATCGTCTCAACCCCGCGAAATCTAATTCTAAGTTTTTAAATACACGTCCGCGGTCCCGGTTTTCGCTCCGTCTGACTTGATGCCCGGCAAGGTTCGGAGCTAACCAGGTTTTCGACCCCTATGCTACCTTATTTAGTAGGTAGGTACCCACATGTCTTCATCGCCGAAGACGTAGATAATATCTCTTATTTTCAACCTCCCACAGTAACCCAGGATTACATCTATATATCCCAGCAACGGTTAGATAGAAGCATGGTCTGACGTAGTAGTAGAAATCCATTTCGGTCAGCCGAGAAACCCATCTCTGTCGGAAGTGTCCGGGGGGCGTTCTCCCCCCCCCCTTTTTTGGTGTCTCGCACTCCCTTAGTAACACGACATTATATCGCCTTGCTCCAACAATGACTAGGTGGCTGAGTGGTCCGATGCGATAGACTGGAAATCTATCGTCTTCGGAAGCGGCTGTTCGAATCAGCGCCGGACTGGAAATCTGTTCTCTAAAGATGGATCGGAAATCTATTCTTCAAAGATAGACCGGAAATCTGTCCTCCAAAGATGGATCAGAAATCACCCTTTGGAGGTATCTGCTTGAATCAGTCTCTGGAATAGACTACAAATCTATTCGCCAAAGATAGACCAGAAGCCTATTCTCTAAAGATGGATCGGAAATCTAGTCTCCAAAGGTAGACATGAAATCTCCCCTCGGCAGCGCCTGTTCGAATCAGGGCCAGACTAGAAACCTATTCGCCAAAGATAGACCAGAAATCTATCCTCCAAAGACGGATCAGAAATCTATTCTTCAATGATGGTCCAGAAATTCCCCTTCGGAAGCGGCTGCTCGAACTAGTCTCTGGAATAGACTACAAACCTATTCTCTAAAGGTAGACCAGGAATCTATTCCCCAAAGATAGATCAGAAATCTATTTTCCAAAGGCAGACAAGAAATCTCCCCTCGGAAGCGTCTGCTCAAACCAGTCTCCGGAATAGACTACAAATCTATGCTCCAAAGATAGGCTGGAAATCTATCCCTGAAAGGTAGACAAGAAATCTCCCTTTGGAAGGATCTGCTCGAATCAGTCTCTTGAACAGACTACAAATCTATGTCGCAAGGACAGACTAGAAATCTATGCTCCAAAGATAGACCAGAAATCTATTCACCAAAGATAGACCAGAAATCCGTTCTCCAAAGATAGATCAGAAATCTATTTCCCGAAGGTACCTAGACAAGAAATCTCCCCTCGGAAGCATCTGCTCGAACCAGTCAGTCTCTGGAATAGACCACAAACCTATTCTCCAAAGATAGATCAGAAATCTTCCTTCGGAAACATCTGCTCGAATCAGTCTCTTGAACAGACCTCAAACCAGTCTCCGGAATAGACCAGAAATCTATGCTCCAAAGATAGATCGGAAATCCGTTCTCCCAAGATAGATAAGAAATCCGTTCTTCAAAGACAGACAAGAAGCCTGTTTCCCGAAGGTAGACCAGAAATCTCCCTCCGGAAGCATCTGCTCGAACCAGTCTCTTGAACAGGCCTCAAACCAGTCTCCGGAATAGACCAGAAATCCGTTCTCCAAAGACAGACAAGAAATCTATTCTCCGAAGGTAGACTAGAAATCTCCCTTCGGAAGCATCTGCTCGAACCAGTCTCTTGAACAGGCCTCAAACCAGTCTCCGGAATAGACCAGAAATCCGTTCTCCAAAGACAGATAAGAAATCTGTTCTCCAAAGACAGACAAAAAGCCTGTTCCCCGAAGGTAGACAAGAAATCCCCCTTCGGAAGCATCTGCTCGAATCAGCCCTCATATGACAGACTAGAAATCTATCTCCTCCGCGAGCGTATTTTCAAATAAGGCGCTGGTCGGTCTTCGTTTCGATCAGCGGGCTTTTGTCTTTTTCGTCTATCCTTCTCTCCCAGCAGCACACTGACGGTAAACAGCGTGGGTGCGGCACATAGGTAGACCGGCAAGCAAAGGCATGACATCTCTCCCTGGCTTCAACAAGGCTTCCCCTCGCAAATGATAACCAGCAAGGGATAGCTACAGCTACGGATCGTAATGAGCTCCGTGTAATTAACATATACTTCTATCGCCTACGTAGGACCTATGCCTTTAGTATACAAATCCAAGGTCATTGCCGCCTTGCTAAACTTCTCCCGCAGGCTCTGCTGCGTAATCCGGCTCTGACTACGGCGTAGCTGCGCTAACGTCCCCAGAGTCGGGTCGTCCTGCTGCTCTTCAAACTGAAGCAGCAGATTGACGGCCTTCAGGGCATCGGCTACGGGGACCGGCTCCTTTTCTCGCTGCTCGGCCGCATTGTCGTCCCTCTCGTCTTCTACTTTTGAGAAGGTCTGCGCGATGTGCTCGATGAGGTCGACGTGGGAGTCGTCTATAGTCTCCTCTCTTGGGTTGACAAAGTTGTCAAAGTCTGCGATCTCACGGACGACACCCTCTCTGACGAGCGCTTCTGCTAACTGCTGTAGATGCATCGCTTCCGCGTAATGTAGAGGTTGAGTTCTTGGGCGGGCTACGGGTCCGAAGAGCTGGGATTGCCGCCAGCTGTGAGCTATCGTATCTGGCGTGACGCGCCTCCACGCGTCGATAATCCAATGGACAGCGGACAGAATGGTGGTGTTCTCGTATAAGTCCTTCTCCTCCATCGTTATTGAGATTATGTGTTGAAGCCACGCCTTGCGGTAGTGGACCTTCAAGTTCTGTATGATGCCCTGGTCCATGGGCTGAAAAACGAAAGTCGTATCGGTCGGGACGAATGCGACAGTGGTGTTTCTCAAGGCAGGCCCCCCTAATCCGTCTCGTATTTGTTTGAGAGCATTAACGTGGGGGGAGAGTCTGTCGATCAGGAGAAGAACTTTCCTGCCCCGCATCTGCCCGTCAAACCAATGTAGATACTCGATAAATATCGTCGTCGTCATCCACGCCCTTTTGTTATATCTCCACTCGAACGGGAGGTTTTTGGTATAACGGCACTCGGGTCCGAAGGGTCGGGGATTCTCAACGTGACCGAGAACCCAGGCGTCCAGCTTTTCACTGCCGTCGGCGTTGCAAGTAGGCAGAATAGTAATCATGTTCTTGTTACCATCGGGACGGAATCTCGTCGGGAAAGGAATTTCCGGCGCGGTGAGCCAAACGAGACCGGTTTCGTCGGTACTAAAGATATCTTTTAATTGAAACCTCCTAATCAGGAGCTGGAGGCGGTGTATGTCCCCTACGGAGTCGGTCAAATCTACACTTGTAGCTTCACCACTCGGCGCTTGTGGAGATGGCTTCATCTTGTGGCGGCGCTTGAAGCCACTCAACCAACCCTGCGACCAGGCCGGCTCCTTGAGAAGCTGGAAGTCCGGCATCTTTTTCCATAAGGAACTGGCAGTACTCTGCATCATCTCCCCGGTCACTGAGACCTTATTTGCCTCCATATGCATTATCCATTCGTAGAGGGCGCTTTCTAGAAGGGGATAGTCGGCTTTGTAGGCTCGTAATGTACCTGAATCGCTTTGCTCGAAGGTCTTGGTATCGAGGTAACTCCAATTCGAACGGAGAGACTTGCAGATGATGGATTGGTTGATCTTGTGGCCAAGCTGGATTGAGGCCCAGCGGGCAATATCGCTCTGCCGGAGAAGGGGATTCGCCCGCGCATACTGGCGTATCTGCTGGCGCTCGCGTTCTGAGATGGCCAATCTGCGTTGAACTGGCATGGTGGAAACCGCGGGAGATGTGAATAGCTTCGGATTGAGCCGGGAACGGTGGATTGTGTTCAGAATCTACATGTCTGAGCGGGCCGGATACAAGAGAAGATACAAGAGAAGAATGGCAAAGTGAATGGCTGGTTATACATACGCGAACTACACTTCAAGTTGTTGCGAATGGATGGAAGTTGGAGGGTGCAAGGCCCACTCTTGCACACGGGCTCAGGTTGATGACTAAGCAGGGCGGTCCTGCGGAGTCGATGTGACCTTTCCAGCCCACAAATACCCGTCGGGACTTGACCGCATGAAGCTTTAGAGCAGAGATCGTGGCTACCCTATTTGGTTAGTACATGCAATCCGTGCCGCAATATTTTATGCTTTGTTCCCTATTCGGGCGACACGCAGTGGGCAGTGGTCGTGCGCTAGTACGAAAAGAGCAGCTGGAAGGTACGAATAGAAGCTACGTCGGGCTTGTGCCCAAGACATTCCGTTCGTCGGCCTACCGTAAGGCTCGGTCCTCAGCGCCAGTTGCCTTCCGCTTTGTCGAAGTGCTCCAGTACAGTAGACTGGGTGGCCGAGAAATGCGGCGGCCCGAGCGCATGCGGTCGTTCTTCTATCGGGAACTGATTTATGTACTTATGCGGTACAATCCGTCTGGCTCCTAGCGCCCCAGCCCTTGCACAATCCCGTGAGTACCTTGTCCATTTGCGAATCTTCCCATCAACCCGTTCTCGCCGACGCGCCAATCGACCTACCACTTTGTACAAAGACCACTTATCGCGAATCTTTGGTCGATGCATTCAGAACCCCGTGGAACTAACTAGCAATCGTCCATCAGAACCATTGCGATCACTCCAAAGTCGCTCCGCCGTGAGGCAACGAACGAACCTCTTCTTCTATCATGGCCTCGACACCTATGGACCTCGACCACGTCGACTCAGCGTCGCCCGCAAATGGCACCCCATCTGCCACGCTGAACATTACGCGGACGCTGGCCAGCAACCTCCCGAGCACTTCAGCCGTGCCCGACATAATTGCAAACTTTAGACCGACCAAGGTACTGCTGCCCCGAGAAACGATCCACTACACCTGTACAGTCACTTGCTTACCCCGCCGCAGCTGTTCAAACGCGATGAAGCGAAAAACGGTGGCTCGTATCCCTACGTACTTAGCCTCGACTTCGACGACCCCGGCGAGCTTGTCATGACCTCCGAGAGCGACGAAGCGATTCAGATTTACAGAGTCAGAGAGGGACGGCATGATAAGCAATTGCTCAGCAAGAAATATGGTGTCAAGCTGGCCAAGTTCACGCGAAATAGCTCTAGCATTGTATACGCAAGCACGAAGCAAAATGGTAAGACGAGAAGACGGCGATTCATCTCGTGGCAGCAAAGCTAACTCGATCCCTCTGTACAGATGCGATCAGATATCTGACAACGCACGATAACGCGTTTATACGGTACTTCGAAGGCCACGAGGGAGCCGTCACAAATCTGGCAATGCACCCCGGTACCGACGATTTCATCTCGTGTAGTAAAGATGGTACGGTGCGGTTATGGAACGCGGGCACAAAACATGCGACCGGGTCATTGCAGCTGAACACACCCTATCTTGCTGCCTTTGATCCTAGCGGGCAGGTTTTCGCTATTGGTTCACCGACGGCCGGCGAGGTTTTGATTTACGATCATCGAAATTTTGACAAAGCTCCTGTCAGCACGTTTGACATTGTCGCGTCATGCCGAGGAGTTAATACCGACCAATTATTAAAGGGTTGGACTAAGTT